TTAACCGTTTCTGAGCGAACGTGGTGCAGTGGAAAGTGAGGGGGTCGAACCCGTTGATAGACTAAAAAATATTTTTCGTAATGAATATGATGAGAAGAAGGTGGGGGAGGGAGAGGGTGATGTAAGGGCACCGTTTATCACGTGCACACTGTAAAACCTCGTGTCAGCTCCCATTCTGGCCGAAAAAAAACATTACATTCCTTGTGAGTCGGTTGATCAGTTGGCACAGTCTTGTTCTCTTCGGACGCTTGGGCGTTTCAGGGGTAGGGGTAGGGGCTGAGTTTGACACGACGCCAACCTATTCTCCATCAATTGTGGCCGCCTGCAAGCGTCTACAACTGGTGGGTAGTAGACTGCGCGGCACAAAACTCACCCCCTGAAAGACACCAGCGTTCGTAGCGAACAAGACTACAGAAGACTCGCCAGTGAGGATAAAAACCACACACCTGACCTACACAACGGCTTGCCCGGTCAGTTTCTGTGTAGGAAGAATCACCATCAAAGTGGCACTGCGATCCCCAGTGGAATTGAAATACGTGGCGCACCTCAAAAGGGGTTGATCAACCCCGAAGAAAACCCAGATCTCATTTTCCTTTGTAAACCAAAAATTATGGCCCGCCAAAATGGAGAGAGAAGAGCAAAAGCAAAGAGGTTGTAGGGAGGTAAGAGCGACAAAAAGAGGATGATTGGACCAAATGTGTCTGCGGGAGAAAACCACCATTAACAGAATGAAAACTGGCACGAAAAGCAGGAACCATGATAGGAGGAACAGAGCTAAGGAACAAAGCTTGATAATGCAATGACGTTAGTGGATCCTGGTTCTCGCCATTTGAAGATGAACGGGGTCCGCAAATGCATAGTGTGCCACATTCTCCGACCAAAGCACGGGAACGGGGCTAGGAATTAGTGGTACTGCATGTCGTCTCCCTATTCCCCTGCGCTGCGGCACGGCCAACCACACGCCTGACCATAGCCAAACGCGCTGCTTCTCTGTGCCTGTCATCTCTGGTTCACCAAGTGCGAGACAAACGCATCTTGGGGATAGGGTGGGCGGAGTATCGAAGCGGCGTTCGGGTTCTACCACCATACACCACCGCTTGCGTGCACTTTCAAGCGGAGAATGTGGCACGCTACTGAATCTGCTGGCCCATTCGCTTCGAACATGACAAAGATCGCCTTCGTAATGAGTGTAGTTTGTTTTCAATGATGAAGGCACAGTCCACGCTGACTTTGAAAGGCCGTGATGCTTTTCTCACCGTTATTGTTTGATAACTGCTGTTTAACGCCGCAGTACGCGATACGAAAGCTATCACAAGAATGCTGAGTTATGGGCAAAAGTCGGACCACGGACGGGATTCGAACCCGCATCTTCTGCTTACCGGGCAGTTGCGTTCCCTATTACGCTACCGAGGCCACGTTTGACCACTCAGCTTGCCCATAACTCAGCATTCTCGTGATAGCTTTTCTCACCGTTGTTTTCCTACTTTCTGAGACGAATAGGGAGTTTGTCGACCCAGGTCTGCTCCGCCTATACGATCAGTGTATATTATGCCTTTGAAGGAGAGTGCCTGTCAAAATTTTACTCGTGTTTCATTATAGACGATAACATTTGCTGTTTATTCCTATCTCATTGTTGACGGGATGCTTCAAGCCTATCCGCTTTGTGCGTAAGTGCATAATCTTCTGTTCTTGGTCACTTAGGTCCACCAAAACTTGTTGACCGTTTGAGACTGCAGTCCTTGTTTGAGAGTGCATTCATCTGAACAGTACTGCGCCACTATTCCAAAGAATAAAATAAAATGCAACTTTTGGCATGTAATTTCGGCGCATCTGTAGAGGGGGGGGGGACAATGGTTAGGTGTTACCGTCCATGCCTCCGCCTATAGGATCCGTGTTGACTATGTTGACTACGGGGTAAACGAAAGTGTTCATGGGCTAGGATAACCACTGTTGTAAGATCCATACGGTCTGAGTACACCATGCAACTTCCGAACCGAACTTCACAGAATTACTTAACCCTCGAAAGTACAGTTGATCTCTGATAATTTTTTCTCTATCTCTGATAATTTTTTCTCTATTTCCGCACTATTTGATTTACTCCTTTCGAAAGTGTTTCATTATGTCCATTTATAGGAACAGTAACGAGTGGAGTATAATGGCTATGTTGACACGCTTCAGCTTCAGCCTGCTTTCAAACACTTTTTACTTGGGATGGCTGAAATGTGCACAAGTGGTTCTGAATCCATTTGGTCTTGATGATGACGATTTTGAGGTGAGCACATTTTGAAAATAAATCACCCTTCTTCAGAGTCTTTTGTAAATTTCGTACACAATAACTCTGCGTTCTATTGGCTCAAAACCAATCGAAGATTTGCCACTATTGAAATATTCCTACCCTAGTGTTCCGAAATCAAGCCAGTCTTTCACCGTCTTTTTTCTACGAGAACAGATTTGGCTGAAAATTTTCTTACTCGGGTCGTCTGACTTCCTGAACGCGAATATCACATCCGCGTAGATCAAAATAAATGCCATAATCGTAACCAATATGGACCCGTATACAAGTTTTCATCAAACTTGGTGAAAAAAGTGGCGGCGCCAAATTGGCGCATATAGGCGGCAAATTGCGCCAACGCCAGAAATGAGTGTCATATCCGTGATCAGGACATCGAATTCCATCAACAGGCAGAGTTTCAGAGAAAATTTTTTCAGTCTTCGGGTAGGAATAATTCAGTAGTGCCTAACATTTCCCTCACAAGAACACGTATCAACCGTCGTCTTGTTAATTACCCAGTTCCCTGAGAGGACACCAGTTTCGTCTCCATTTGTCCGTGTTGGAAACGGAGTAGTCTAGTGGATTCTCCTGGCTTGAGGAACTCGGATCCCTTCATCCCTTTTAAAGCTTTCATGATGTAATCTGACCATCTGGCTCATGGTCATCGTGGTGTTCGTTTGACGCCCCTGCGGCATCCAGTCACAAACCGTTTTGGTCCAACAGTCATCAGAAAATTGCACATTATGCCCAGTTTACCTGCTCTTCCATTAAATGACGAACAAAGTAGTGTCTATCAGGGCACAGCATTCGATGGGGATTTTGGTCGAGCTTTTACGACCCCCCCCCCCATTTTTTCAGGGGCTGGTACGAACGCCGCCTCGCATATGCTCGTGAACGATGTAGGTCGCATGCTTAATACCATATACCCTCCTCCCCCGGCTTTACCCCGCTCGACGACTTTTCCATGAATGACACTGGATTGGCTGACTGTGGTTGTGGTTATACTCGGCGAAAAAGTTGTCGGGGGGGGGGATTCACAAAACTCATGAAGTGAACCACGTAACATCATAGACAGAATACGCCCCCCCCAACCCCACAATGAGCAACATACACCCGGCCACATACCAAAATCCGCACGCGGAAAAATCCAAACTCCCTATAAACTAATTTTTTTTTTTTTTTTTTTTTTTTTTTTTTTTTTTTTTTCCCAGCCCAAATACGACCCCCCCCCCATAGGGAATCCCCATCGAACGGTGCCCTGGCGTCTATGGTCCTCAAACTACAGCATCTTTGTTCCCAAGGCATTTTTTTTTGATGACAGTTCTTATAGAGGAGTGGATATTATATGGAGCGTCGGCTACAGGCATTCCTGAGCATGCTCAGAAAGTTCGCGTTGTTATTATGGGCGGAGCCACTTTATACAGTGGGGTTTCTTCCGGTGAATGCACCTTCCAGTATGAGGAGGAGGGGGCGCAACACTGAGCGAAGTTGAATTCCGCCAACGCTAATGGTGTGGCACTTGTCCTTCGAGGGCATGGAATAATGTGGGCGATGAGGAACACTAAACTGCATATGCTAAATGTTTCATAAGTTGGGAGTGCCCTGAATCTCAGTGATGCCTCAGATAGTCGTATTAGACCCCTGGCGATTTGCCATGCTTCTCCCAGAAGTGGAAATATCACAGCTCACCTTGAACATGGAATTCCACCTCTCAGGTGGTCGCAAAATGTGCCTGTGAATCTGAAGATCTTTTTACCCCTCCAAATGTTTTGGCCAAGTATTCGAGAGACTGGACCAACAAGTTAGACTTGAATGTACGTGACCCTTGTGAGTTTTTGCGTTGGCCGCACAGGCATTCTGCTGCTAAAATAATGTTCTGAATAGGAACCGAACGCATGGCACACTCAGTTAAAAGCTGTGGAGCGCAGGGAATTCTACCTTCCTTCAACTAATCTTTCAAGGCTTGCGCATTAATTGACATGTACCAGCGGTCGCTGGCAGCAATTTTGACCAGACCGGAGACGATGCAACCAATTGGACGACACGTTTATCGTCGATTGCCACATACTGTAGGCAGCGCCCTGATGGGGTGAGATTTCTAGATTCCTACCGTAATGGAGGCTATCTGAAAATTAATCAATGGAATTTCAGAGGAGTTAGTGAAACTTCACTGGTTGGTTCCATGGCTCATAAAACTGTGTCACAGTTGGGACAGGAAGTCGTCCACAAACCGCACTAGCAACACAAAGAACTCTCGAAAAAGAACAACATGAAACGTGCCATATATCATTAATAAATATTAAAATTTAATAAATATTATCCTTCGAGGCGGAAGTGGTGCGATGGCAATGCTTACAAGACCCGGAGTCAAATCGGAACGGGCTTTGTTTGCCTGGGCGGGAGCCGGATTCCGGATTTGACTCCGGGTCTGGTAAAGTTTCTCCTCCCAGGCGATAATTGGTTCGAATACTGTCTGGCGAGAACAATGAACCGGGACTTCTGACATCGGCAGGTCTGTTGTCCCGGCAAGGCATTGTGCAGTGCCACATCGCATCATAATAAGCCACTACGATTGCTGAGTGAAGGTAGAATGATCGCCGATTCCAGAAAGGATTTGTCAACGGCGAAGACTCCCTTTCCTCCATTCATACCACTTCCTCAGTACGAATATAACCGTTTCAAAGACGAGTAGTAGGTAAGACTGTAAGACATCCAACGTTTTGACCTGCACGAATGCATCGTTGCGTCCGCGACCCGACAGTTGCACCAGCATCTGTAGTCTTGTTTGCTGCCGATGTGGGTCGTATCAGGTTGGATGGGTCTGGCGCGGCGCCAGCCCATTTTTGCCTTTCTCTTTTGGCAAGCGACGAAGACTGTACCCATCGTTCAGCATGCAGACGATTCTGCACAGTTTCTTGTCGGTACCGCTCCAGTAAGTGAAGGAGATGGGTGCGCAGCGTGGCCAATCGCTTTCATTGGCACTGCCTGTGGATTCGCAGCGAAATGAGACTGTGGTTAATAATTGGTAGAAAGATACTTACAGTCCAGCTGGGTCAGCTAGCTGGTTTATGCCTGGATTCGCAAACAATCCAGCGTAGTAGCCGCAATCTCGGTATTTATTTGATACTCTCTTCTCCCCCCCCCCTCCGGCCCCCGCTCGCGAAATGAAGGCCTATGAAGCAAGCACAAGAATGAGCCCGCTAATACTTTCACTAGAATTCGCGAAATGACAACCTTATATTTCATATAACAACATTAGGTACTACGAACACTTGAAAAGCACCAACTCATTTTGACAACGATGAAGCATTGCATTACTTGTTCTAATGACACACTGAACTAAAACACTGCTGAGTGACCCGTAACACATTTGAAAATATTTAAAGAGGACAACAACAAGGCAGCGCTTATAGTCTGCGACACCCCCAACTGAGCAATCGAATTGATCGCTTAGGACAAGGCACATATTAGCCTTCATCGCGCGCTCATCGTTGTCGCAAACTATGAACGCTGAATGAGATACAGTAATGCTAAAACCATCCTCTAAAAATCTCTTTACAGTCCATATCTGCAGGCAAATAGGGGCGTTCCCACGCATGCAGCTGCGAGCGACGCTACGGCTCCCAGAGTCCAGGCGGCAGAGAGGCTGAGACGTATGCAGATTCAAGAGAGGACAATCAACACCGGAATAGGCAACTACACAACGATGCACCCGGGAACGCCTCTTTTCCTGCCGATATGAACTGTATAAAACCGCTCAATACTAATGGTAACAAACATCTGTAATAATCACTACACGAATGTCCACAAAAAGGGTACGATTTAACAAATAAACCCAAAAAGATTACGATAGACGTGAGTCGTGTTGACTGACGACGTGTCATAAAACATTCAGAAAGGAGAAATGAAAAAACTTCGCCCCATACTGTAGATGTACATGAGTACATGACAAGACAATCGTAACATGCGCACTGGGAGTGGCAATCAACGTCGCACACGCCAGAGAGCTGCCCTGCCCGGCCATTTGAAAGCTCAGTTTACCGTACGTGAAAGCAGCTAGCCAAAGTTCTCAGGATCATGAACTACCGTGTTAAAAACAAGTAATGCGCCACTCGGAACGTGGCTTTAAGTAAAACAACAGGTTTTAGAATGCACAATGATAAAAGGGAAAAGCGCAGAGAAAAGCTCATTAATATGCAAATGGTAGACATCAAAGTTCTCAGAATTTCCATAAAAAGGTAAGCAGATGGCAATCATACTCACTAATAACAAAATTCTACAATTCTAAAAATCTCTACAATTCTAAACCGTAAATTAAGAACAAATACTGACGAAGCAAAATTTAGAGGATGCGGAATGAAACGATCGTTTTTTGAAAAGGAAGGCGCCGGCGAAAAGTTACTACGCGCAGTACTCAGACAACAGAAGAACGGCGGCATTACCGCATTGTTTAAATTACGTCTCTCAAGCAGCTAGGCAAAAAAGTTGGAGAGAGCGTCTGGACCTGATAGTTTGGCGTAATGCTCCTCGAGCAGCTGCCCCGTGCTAGTTAGGACGTAGGCGCGGAGGAAATTGGCATTCACCCTGCTTCTACCCCTCATCTGCAGTGAACCGAGGTATCGAGCCTATCTGTCCTCTACACATAACACAGTTGTTCTCGGAGCACTCAAAAAAACCTTTTTGTGGCGGCTTGCTTTCCGCGGAAAGCTGTTACCGGCTTACAAATTTCCCCGTAACAAATAACACTCTAAGTTCGCTCGGAGACAGTTGGGCGTAGTCAGATCGAGTGTGTTACGAGCGGAGCGTCAAAGCCGTTCTCTGCCATCTTGCTGAAGCGCGCATGCGACAAAAAATGGTAGAAAACGAGTCAATATGACTGAGCAGTATGATAAATTGCTTTGCCTTTAACACGGTGGAGAAGTGGAGAACCGGGTTTTTGGGCAGGCCGTGCCAAACTCATCTCCCCTGACAAGCCCACCAACTAGGAGAGGGCGTTGACTGGCCTCAGTGGCCTACAGACGGCTCCTGTGGAGACCCGTAACACTTGACAATAGTTTACAGGTCTTTTCAGAACAGGATCTGCAATTTAACAGGAACTACTAAAAAAATCCAAACGAAATGCAAAACCCTCGCGCTCGAGCAAAATCCCCCCCCTCACTCCTACAATGAAGCCAAGAACTGCGCTGGAAGAAACTGTCGGTACAGAGGCAAGATGTTCAGAAAGGGAGAGTGAAATGATAGGAGAGAATACTTACAAAACAACCGGGATGCTAGGTAGAAAGAACAGGAGTAATTGAGATGCCTCACCTTTGGCTGAGGCTTCATGTAGTAAGTTTCTTTGCTATTTTCTCGTTGTAAACTCGAATTCATTCAGTGAGGCACTTACGGCTTCTCCGAAACCAAATTCCGCCATTGCGCAATTTGGAGAGGAATCAGTGCCACTGCATCATCACTGTCCAGTTCATCGAATGGAACGAATTGGAAGTTCTGGGAAGGAAAAAAATTCAATGGCGTAGAAGTGTGCTTGAGAAATTCCACAGAAAAGGGACATACCTGTCTGGCCAATGGACGACCGTCAGAGTGCTTGAGAACCGGTGATTCCAAAAGCTTTTCTAGACGCGCGTTGCAAATTCTCGGATCCGTTAAATCAGAATAAGTTTAGCAAGTTTGCTAATAATGGGCGCATTTTGACATCTTATTCGAATACCTTCCCAATTCCAACGGCAATTATGCTCATCGGATGAGGAGAACAATCTACGATGGCTTCAATAGTGCGGCGTGGGTTTGTGAGACCTCCATCGGTAAGGATCAACAGGGACAAAGTACAAGCCCGTGCGTCTCGATTCAGTTCTTTGGCAAACTGAAAGACCAACAATAATTACGACCAGCTAAGGGAAAAAGTCGGCACCAACCTCTCCCAGCTGAAGTATGAAGTCATTTGAAAACCGGTAAAAAAGAAACAGCACAAAGATGTCAAATAAAACGCAAAATAAATAAACAACAAGACTACACAAAGAGAAATAGTATGAAATTTTAAGCCTAACTCCTTTGAGTTACATGATAAATGACTTCAAGAAAGTCCTGTAGGTGCAAAAGGGTTGCAACTGCCATCATACGCCGAACGATATGCTTCCGAGTAAGGGGGGGTCCCTTGTATACCCGATCTACTTGAGGATCTGATTAGGATTGCCACTCCTGAACAGTCTTCGCAAATAACGAAGCTGAATCTGATGCAGCAGAACAAGTAACGAAAGTACTAGAAATGCCGGTGCACAACATTCTCGGCAAAAAACCTGTAAAGTTCCACTTCAGTTCGCGACTCGAGGGACACCCATTTCATCGATTGCAGGTCGTAGGTAGTGCGGTACAAAACATGGATTCGTTGCTGCTAATTGACTTACTAGAGGATAAAAGCAGAAGATTTGGTCATGCCCCAAGTAAGATCTGGGAGCGGGACGAGCATACGGGCTATGAACGGGGTGGGCATCTTCACAGAGGAACTTCCTTGCAGTTCTGTTATCAGAAGACAACGTTCAGACTTTGCGTCGCCCCCCGCTGTAAACATATCGTCAAATCTGCGCTGTCAATGGGACAGCGGCTGCTGATGCTGTTGACGAGAACGCCGGTCCAATGAGCAGGTATGACCGGCGCCGGCGCTATCGCTTAAAGAGAGTACGGCGAGAATGGGGAAGGGTAGGCGCTTGTCTTTTCACTACTGTCTGCTATGCGGATTCCGGCCGCCCGACCGCTGAGTATTCTGGCAAAGAAGTATAGCGGGAAGCCAGAAAGTATATCCCAGACTGTGTGCATTAGGTCAACGCGTACCCCTTATTCTCCTATACTTTTTTTGCAGCAGTAACCACGCTGCTGAACTACACCAGTCTATGGTATAGTTCCTGTCAGTAGCAGCGCTCCAATGCTACTGACAGGTATGGTTGCATTCCTGTCAGTAGCATTGGAGCGCTGATGTAATGGTAGCGCGTCAACGCGCGGCACAGCACGCCATAGCGAAGTCTGAACGCTGCCGAAAACATGCATAATTGCCGCGAAACAAAAAACCAACCTCAAACCATGCATATGAATGTGGATGGCTCAAGATGCCAAAAACGCAGAAACGTGATCAGAATGCTCACCAAGGAAAAACACTGAGATAACTCAAATCGAGGCTCTGTTCGTGCGCCAAATCCCAGTGCACCTAGAAAATACATCTAAGCAACATCGACAACTAAAAGTGAACATATATTGAAAAATGCTGTGCTGATACCTATTCTTGAGTGAGCCATGTAACCAAGGAATAGCGGTGTAAGCCGAAGCATTGCAGCCACGTAGGGACTTGCAGCGTGTGGATGAATAAAATGCAACGAATCGGGTTGGTTAGGATTTCCATTTGATGCTGTCATATCTATCGCTGTAGTGAGGTGAAGATGAGTGCTGGAGAAGAAGGTAAATTACCTATAGATATAACGAAATCATCCGCTTCATACTTTTAAAAAAACACTAGTTTTACAAGACTTTAGAGAAAGATAACCCTCAGAGTAGCCTCGAGGCTCAAATCGTAACGACAAGATGGCCTACAGCACAGAAGTTAGGAAAATAAAGCGGAAAAACCCTGCCCGAAATCCCCCACATATTACAACACTTGTTGAATCACGTCTATTCGTGCTTAAGGGCAAAAGAAGGGCGTGGTCGGACGATTTCCCACTTGTTGGCATGATCTCTTTTTCCTTATCACCTTGGACCCACCATTCAACATAGAGAGAGTTTGCAGCGGAACCAGAAAGCCCTTCAGAAATGAAATTTGGCCGGCTGCAGAGGCTCGTTGGGCGGTCGCGCCACATGTTTTCAATCCACAAAAATACTGCATCTTTCATGCTTTCGGGCAAGACTACCATGTTCCAAAAAGGCGTCTCAGCCTCAAATGAACGCGAGCGTGTCTTTAAAATCGAGGAATGAGGCACTTAATATCCTCATGCTGCTTACATTTGGATGGGAAAAAAAATTACCATATAAAAAAGTTGGATAAGCAGGCTGCAGTAGCTAATACAAAAACCTTCTAAACGAGGGATGAATATAGACCTTCTTCAATAGGTTTTGTGAAAAGAGATGCTGTAACACCTGAGATCATCTCCGCGCTTAGCATAAGCGAGCGCAAGCGATCAGAATCCTGTACTTGCCGCGTGATCTCGTTCCATCCTAAACACCCCCCTCCCCCTTTGCCCTTAACCCGAGCTAATTGCTCCGAAATTGGTGACATTTCGTTCAGAGCTCAACGTATGCGTAAAAGGATGACTCATTTTAACTTCTCGCTCTGCAAAAGACATGCGCATTATGCTACACACCTGACGGCCAGACAACTGCTGAAACAAGCAAACAAAAGAATGGTGACTAACCTGTTTTTGATAGCATCGAAAAATGCCTCTCCACGGCCCAATTCCATAGACTCGAGCTCAATGCTCATTTTCTCGTGGATCCGCTTCCCATCGAAGTTCATCAGCTGCAACAGTTCACATTATCCTAGAAGAAACCAAGAAAGAGCAATGACAATAATTGCAAGAATTGGGAGCAGCCAGTGAGAGGGACTAGGCCACGTCTGGTTCTCCTCTCCTGTACTTTGTGAGGTTAAGACATATTGGGAGGGACACTTGTCGGACGCTATTCCATTGAGAAAACACAGGCGAGCAGAAAAGGTGTGGCGCAGTTTGGGCGGTGACTGCCTTCACCTGCCTAATTTGCCCTAACCAAGTAACTAACTAGCAAAATTAAGAAAAACTAACCATATACGAGTTAAGAGCTCCGACGCCTCGTTCCAGCTGTGCCATTGATGTGCTACAAAAACCTTGAAACAACACTCGATATTATACGGAAATATTCTGTGAGGAAGAGGTAATGCCATTCATAATCACCTATCAGAGTGTCCGCTGCGTTCACATTTTGATTATAAACGTGTATCTGAAGAGCTCCTTGCGTATAAAACTGGATAACGTAGACAGGAACAGAGAATTCCCTCCAGTTAGGATTCTTCTCCTTCACGACCTCACTTTTATACAATAGTATTGTCCGTTTCTCAATCCTTAGGACCAGAATCATGTAAGCCGCCAATGGTAGATGTTCGCGCACTTGTAGATGATTCCCTCGGAATTTCAGCTTGACATGATGTGCATAGAAATCAGGAACAGTAATAAAGACGTCTATGGCAGCAGAGGGAGACAGTGGGAGCGAAAGTACTCCTTTATTGGCTAACACCGTGGCTACATCCGTATAAACTTCGCCTATTCGATGAAGAAAAGAGCCATTGTCATCTTTCACGCAATATCTGGAAAAATGCTATGAAAACTGTTCGCTGCCGAGGCTAGGGCGTCTGAGATGAGCTGGGTCTGGCGCGGCGCCCACTCCTCCTCCATTTCTCGTGGCGAGAGAGTGACAGCAATAGGTGGAAAACGGGCGGCCCCGCGACAAACTCAGCCTACCTGAGAACATCCAGCATCCATCAAAAGAACTAAACTTACACTGAGAATTTCAATCGCTCCAACTTATCAAATCGATAATTCAACGAGCACCTATGCTGAAATGTGACATTTGTTTGGCCGATGACTGTCTCTGTTTGGGCGATCTGTAATAAATAAGTTAAGTTACAGGACAGGGCGTCAAAGGAACGCTATAGCAACTCGACGAGGTAGTGTCAGAAGGCCCGGAATGAGCCCGCTCGCAGCGTTTTCTACCAGACCTTGCGGTTGCACGATCATTCCACGCCACTAACACCGTCTCGTCGCACTAAGACTTTATCAGCAGTAGTAATTGTATTAGTACTCGTATGCCTTTCGGGGTTGTAGTTGGAACTATTCGAATCGGCCTAACTTTTCTTCTCAATTGCCCTTTTCGGAGGCCTAAAAGTGGTCCGAAGTTCAAATAATGCTCTTTCGAGTGGCTCACGTTCTCTAGTGGTTCACTTTGGTTGAGGATATTCAGTGACCGACCATAGTC